AAAAAAAAAACTAAACCTGCTTCCTCCTGTAATTTTTCTCCGAACTGAATATCTCAGCAGTCGGTGATGCTCGAGGGTACTGCTTCAGCTCCTTCAGTATGGACTCTCCGCCATCGGTCACACTACCACCGTGGGGCGTTATCGTCATTTCCTCCAGTGCCGCGGCCGATGCCAGTAGATATTTCACAAATTCCATTTCGGCCTCAATTCCAGAAAATAATTGCATTTTCACCGTTCTCAGCTGCGTAAAAGTCTCGGAGCTTCTTTGTGACCGGAGGAAGTCCGCAACGGAATCCACAACGTCCAACGTGAAAGCCTGAAATTTTACGGAAAAAAAATAATGATTAAATTACAAGAGGTACCCCTTAAAATTTAGCCTAATTGAAAAAACAAAAAACATCTAATTATCAATTGGTTATGAAGTTGGGGGTTATTCCACATAACTCCCTTTGAGACTCTTTCTTACAATATATTTTTCATTTTTTCTCCAAATAATGTAGGCAAAACCTTAAAGAGGTTAGCAACTTACAGTGATCTTAAGCCTCTGTAAATTGGGGCAGCTTCGAATGAAGCAAATGGCACACGATATCTCCTCAATCTTTTCGAAATACATATCCGAAAGGTGAAGGTTTTTAAGCATTCTCAGCGAAAGGGGCAGCTTTTCTGGTGCACCATTCTCAACAAGGTCCTGCAAACAATCAAACAATACATTTAAATATATACAACTCTTTAATTCAGAAATAATAAATCCAATCTATACTGTTTTGCACTTCATCTCGAGCATCAACAAAATTTCTCACCTCCAAAGCATAAGCTTGCAACTGCAGGTCCTCGAGCGCAGGCAACGTGCTCAACGACTTAAACAAATCCAACGAGAACCGATTCCCGCTCTTAAACTCCATGGACGAGAAAGTCAGCTTCACATCCCTCAAGACGGAGCATTTCTCAAACACCACCGACTTAAACACCCCGTGAAACTCAAAAGATTCCAACCGGGGCCCATTAATCTCCAATCGGTCAAAGCTCGTGCACTGGACCAGCCTCAGCCTCTCGAGAGAAGTGCACGAACCGATAAATTCCCCAAATTTATCCGGAACGAGCTCCACTCGTTGGAGCTCGAGGCTCGTCAATTTCCCAAATCCCTTAAACCCGGGCACCGGATCAAAAACACAATTATAAAGCTTCAAATGTCTCAAATTGTTGAACCTGAACAAATCCGGGGTCAGCCTATGGGTCTCTCCCCTTGAGACATGAAGGGTTAGGTCCTGTAGGGTCCTGTCTGGCAGGAGGTTCACCCACTGGTCAATATCGGGACTGCTCTTCAGGTCCGGTACCTGGAGGACGAACTTGAGGAGTGGGCCCCGGTGGAGTTCCAGTATTTGGTAGACAAGGGGCTCGAGCTGGTGGCCGCCGAGGAACATCTGATCGAACCAGAAGTCGAAAACGAGCTCGGGGCACGAGACCCACTTGTGGCGCCACTGGCGGGATAGGATGCTCGTTCGGACCACATCACGTAAGGGCAGACAGCTGAGGATTGTGTCGATTATGTTGTTTGGGAGGTCGGTTATTGGGTCAGTTGCAACTCTTACAGTGTTCCCCTTCATTTCTTTAGGAAAAAAAGAGTTCTGGGACAAGGTAAAATAGAAAAATGTATTAGGTTAAGAGGTCAAACTAAGGCGGCATCATAAATTTTGAACTATTTGATCAGTAGACCATCCCCACCGCCATTTCTGTGATCTAACTTCAACATTAAGTTCAAATATGTAAAGAAGAAAACGATCGACTGAGCTGATATTTTCTGACCAAAATTGGTATATCCCCCAATAAGAAGAACGAAAAGAAAGATGTAATTTTGAAACAATTTTTCAGCTTTGCTATTCGCCATGATCAAACGATGAGAAACCGATATCAAATCAAACCAGCCCAGCCCAGCCCAGCCCAGCC